TTGGCAAAATTCAGAACTTAAGAATCCGCGCTTTGACGGATTTGCGTGTCTATTTAGAGTCAGCGTCCAGGCAAATCTGGACATATCTGGACATAACTTACGTGCAAATTATTAGGACCCTAATTAAGACACTGCCTAAGCGGCAGCTCAGATAGTGCACTTCCGCGCCGAGATATTCGCCTCCAAACTGGGCCCCTGGATCGCGCCGAGATATTCGCCTCCAAACTGGGCCCCTGGATAGTATTCGCATGGATTCATGGCGTGAAAAATGAGTTTTGCGTGGGTACTCGCGCATCGCGCCATAAATTCATACGGGTACGATCCAGGGGGCCCAGTTTGGAGGCGGATATCTCGGCGGTGAGTGCAATATGCCCAGTTTGGAGGCGAGTATCTCGGCGGTGAGTGCACCAAGTAGCTGCCGCTTGGGCAGTGTCTTAGTTGGGGTTCTAAGATTACTTCCGCTTGGGCAGTGTCTTAGTTAGGGTCCTAAGATTGCTTTCCACGTAAGGTCTCCATATTTCCAAATTTGCCTGAACGCTGCCTTCAAAATAGAGTACCGATGGATATTACTACTGAGGAGCTTTCTATTATGCAAATTTGTAAATAAAAGGATAGAAAAAAGTGACTCATAATTCGATCTCTTTTGTGGGCTGCCAGTACCTAATATATGCAAAAAAATAAAAGCAGTCGGTGTCTATTTCTATGGCCTGCCTTGTTTGACTGACATGGGCGGAGTTTGTGTTGATTGAACGTCATCTACATGGTCCAAGTACAGAGATAAGATTGAGATGTTAGCGATGTCTCCCGAACGCTTCTATGTTGTAATGTGGGCATGACCGGGAGCCCTAGGCGCTGTTAGAAAATGCTTTATCTCGCCTTTCATATGACTATGTTGTATACATATCCGTTAAAAAGGCCAGAAAAGAAAAATCTTTGAGTCAACCTGATACTTGCACCTTGCCTAGTCTTGGGCATGTATAATTATTAAGCTGCCCCATACGTCATGTCGGCGAAAATCAGCTAACCTCGATTTTGTAAATGGCAACTTGAGCGATTATTGTTAGAGCAACGCAAGCTCTACAAGATGGCCTTCGCAGAATCGCAAAAGGCCTGATACAAGTGAAGTTTGGAAAGGTAATTCAAAAATTTTCAAAATGCCCGAAAAATCCAATCTCAACCTTAAAAATTCTACGGACCTCTAACTTGTTCGGGTATATAATCCCCAGATCAAACATTTATGTTTACATTTGCTGAATTTTTCCAAGGCTAGAAAATGAATACATAAAGGTTCATGGTATAAATCTGGTTCTGTAGAAAAAGTTCAGCATCTTTTACAAGAACATACAATTTTTAATTTTCTCTGTTTCTAGCAATGGAGAAATATAGTAAATGTACGTATAGTCTGCTTCATTT